CAGAGAACCATTTGGTACATATTCATAGATCAAAACTTTTCCTCCTCTTGCTCCTATCCCAAATCACAATTCAGCCATATTAATATGCAGGAAGTATTTATGGAAACAGAGAGGGCAAGACCTGAAAATTACACAATGCATGTAAATACCAGATGGTTCTTCACAAAATCCAACCAAACCTACAAGGTTTCTGTGCTTGACCTTAGAAAGTAGCCTCACTTCTGTTCAAGGAAACACTACACAGAAATCAGATTGATATGCAACTTGTGAATCTTAATCTCTTCTGATGTGTGACACATTATTATATATTGGTTCAGGCTCACCATTTCTGAATTCTTCTGCACTCTGAAACGAATCGGCGTGGGTTCGCTTAATGGCTAGTGGCCCCAGATCATCAAAAGTCCCCTTGTAGACATTTCCAAAAGCACCACAACCCAACAAGCAATCTTTGCTGAAGTTCTTGGTGGCCTTCCCCAGTTCCTCTAATTGGAACCGCCTGAGCAATATTTTCTCTTCTTTCAAATTTCCTAATAGACATAAACAAATGAAGTCACACCCCAAATTTTAGTTCAAGGTCTTTGCATTTTACAACAATTGTAACTAATGTTCTCTTATCAAACAATTTGAAACTTAAATAAATTCTTATTTTTAAATTTTAATCCACTATGTTTAATTTGACACTCGAATAACATAACATGCCGTACATTTGAAAATATTTGATAATTAAGAGAATATTACCTAGGCAAATAAGCTAGAAGAATGTGCAATCTTATTTCTTTCATGGTTTTCCAAGAAGAGTGTGCAATAAATTGGGTTAACTTGGTGGGGCCTATAATTACTTAGAAATGGGAAAATGTTAATTGCTGCAAACTGAGGGTTCTGCTCACCTTTCTGCCCAAGCTTCTGTGGTAATTGCCTGTGCCTGAGAGCTGGTAAGAGCTTCGTCTTGATCAAGTAAAATAATAAGGCAACCACCAAGACTGTCAAAATGCCAACAACAAAGCCTCCCAATATATGAGTTTGATGAGAATGACCAGAACTTGGAGATGGTGGTGAAGCCACTGCCAAATAACGCTGCATTGCCATTGTCACACCAAATAAGAAATTAATTCAAATTGTTCTTAAAACATGTTGCTCATTCTATATCTGCTCATCTGCATCAAACTAATAAATTTTTCTTCCTTGAAGAGAGAGAGAGAGAGAGAGAGAGAGAGAGAGAGAGGGGGGAAGGAATATGGGAAAGTCTTAGTGCATATAAGCTGATCACAAACTGATCATCTGCCGGCTAATTAATGTTTTCAAATATATATATAGCAAGTCTATGATTTCTTTAATTTTTGATAAAACAAGTCTATGGTTTCAAAGAGTCAGTATTCTAGTCATCACTTATGACTAGGTCTTACATGCTAAGACGGCATATAAGCCAAAAATAACATATGCATCTATACGTATGTGTGAATTGATGTTTGCATGACTGTACATTTCCTGCTATAAGAAGCATAGAATTCCCATGCTTCTTAAGTTCAAAACTGACATGTGTTGCCTCCTAAGTATATTGGTTGTTGTAGTGAACTGATTCAAAATTTAAATTAGTATGTAAAGTGGGGAGTGATTGGTTAGGGTATCAATTTACAATACTTGATTATATATTATCAAATATCGACACGATATGGAGTGTTAGGATTGTATGGTTCGATAAAAGTCATGGATATAGGAGTGACTATGATCACTGAGGTTTTTTGAAATAAAACCCCACACTTAGATGAGTGGCCTTATCTCATCCAAGATATTAGATCTAAGTGGTTAATTTTGTGACAATATCATTATGTAAATTAGTGTCTCGGACCAAACTATCTTTCCATATGCTATGTGACTTTTTTTCATTTTGGTCATTTCACCATGAAACCCCTAAAGTGTTTATAAGCTTCTAAAATCTCTAAACAAGATACTTAGGTATAAAAAAAATGTCAGTGACAATCCACAAAAGAAATATTAATATCAATAAAAATATTTGACTTAGACAAAGGAAGAAAAAAAAAAACCAAATGAAAAATAATGTTATTGTGCAATCAAACAGCACCAGTGACAATGGCAGGAAAAAAACAAATGAAGAAAAACTGTTTATTGGTAGAGTATGCATCCAAAACGACCGATTCATCTTTTTAATTAATTGCAAAATATTCCCCCCACCCATCTAGAAACAAATTGACATGAATGCTATTTGTTATATTTATATAAATTCATCTTTGACAGGTAAATGTTAGAAATTATTTCTTTAAAAATTGTATACATAATAATTTGCATGGGTCCAATATTGAAGATTTGAAGCTATACGATGTCTTTATGTGCAATTGGTTTTGTGTATTGACCTGATTAGCTTTGGATTGAATGCTTTGGACACCATGTCCTTGGTCTTTGGTTTGCATTAGATTCTTTTGTGAATGGAAGTTATAATTAGTATATTTGTAAGACATATAAAACAGATCATCCTATCATAATAAGACGAGAGTTTCTACTAAATTACTCCTAAACGAGCCCTTCAGCATTAATTGGGGGGCTTTAAGCAAAAACGATAATCAAATTTACAAATTTATGTACAAAATCAACTTTTTATTTGCACCCAACTTCTTTGGCATTACACCCAATATATATAAATACATTTTGCCCTTATTTATTTGTCCATCACAACAAATATCTGAGGCAATTCACATGTTATCAATTGTGGAGGGGAAGAGAAACGATGGCGAAAATTGAGAAACTGTATTAATTTGGAATGAAAGATCAAGCACGACATGAAATGAAAGTGAATTCATTTGGAATTACGCTTCAAAGTGACGTGAATTACTTTGAGACCATGGCTTTGCAGGTGATTTGTAAAAAGCCCTAGGCAAAAACAAAGTCTCATGTTAGAAGAAGATCACATGATTCAGCAAATTATCCACACGATACTGGGAAGAAGGAGCCAAATACAGCCGCAAGTACAGAGAGTAAAGACACGAAGGATGTTGAAGGTGACATATGATATACGTGCATGTTGATGAGTGTGGATTCGCCTGAGGTGGCAGATTGCTGGCTTTCTCTTTGATTTAACCAAAGAATATGTAGGTAGCTAGTCGCATTTATTTCAGTGTAAAATAAATAAAATACAAAGAGAAAAGAAAAAGCTACTTGGAAAAGAAAAAGTGCCCACCAGAAAATATAAGAGGGAAAATATTAACCCCCAAGTTATCTTATTAAGAGGGAAAATATTTTGGTCATTACTCTTCACAGTTTGACACCGTTGAGGTTGTGTAGTTGTGTAGCTCGATACAAATTATAAATGTAGGATTAGTCGTGATTTCATATCGAAAAAGTACCATAATGATCTATAGTTAAATGGTATATTTTTGCTCACCACTTTAACTCAAGGTGTATACTCACCACTATTCTCAACACTTACACGTGTCCTTTGGTATGACCATAGTTAACTTTTTACTTTGTATTTATGCAACCATGGTTATATCAATAGACACGTGTTAAATATTGAGAAAAATGATGAAGGTACACATTAGATTAAAGTGGTGAGCAAAAATGTTCTCATAATTAAAGAAAATAGATTGTTCATTACTAATCACATCAATGAATCTGAGATAAAATCTCACACCTTCATAGGTCGCTTTAGACTTCATTTCACCCAAAATATAGAGCTGGGTGGTTAAGTTGATGAAAATGGTCACGAATTAATTACTATTCATGTGATCTTATCATGTTATTAATTACTCATACTGAAAGCTGCATACTTTCATAAATGTGAGAGATGTAAGGTAAGAAATTAAAGCTTATAGATAGATGTACACTATGGCTGGCCCGCATGTTAATTTGAGATTTCAAAATTATTCATGTGGTAGCTGAAGCGCTTATGACTGTACTCTACTTGTTTTCTGTAAGTGGGGTTGTGGCAATTTCTGGCTCAATGGTTACAAAGATATTTTATGCCTTGCTTTAATGATTTTCCTGGTCCGTACTGTTCAAACGAATAAAAAAATAAAACAAGCATCTAACTCAGCGTTGCCTGAATTATTTATTGAAAAACAATCCCATCCCATGAATCTCTTTTCTTGATTTCCCAATCTTTAGTGGTAGACGACTGATTTCCCTTTTTAAAGTACTGGCTTGAGTCAGAATTCATCTCCAGTCTTGTAAGGGATGGGATAAAATCAGATGCACCGGAAAGAAAATTTTACCTAATTATTTGTCTGGTTGGAAAGTTTGTACTTGCTTGTTAAATTGCACAGGCTTTGGACAAGTCAGAGAATTTGAAACCCCAACGAAAAACACACCATATCTAAAAGAAAAGTGTTTTCTGTTTGTGATATATAATGTTCCTACCTACCTGATTAGATAACTTTATCAGCAAAATTTACACCGAGATATTTCAGTTGCGGAGGCAACTAATTCTCCATCACTTGCATCAGAAGAAAAGTTATTGCAGTCCTTGCATTCACATATCAGATGAGAAAATAAGCATTTCCATAAAAGGAGAAGAACTTACATGTCACGAAAATAGCATTATGCTTGTTTGAAAATCTAGGAGCACTTGGTATCTGGGTGTGGAAATCTGGATAAGATAGCTTTAAGTTAGTTGTCCTTGTAAATAGTTATTAACATCTTTTACTTCTGCAGACAAATTCTGCCATTGGATCCCAATATGCTGGAGAGAAAAGCACCTCTGATCACCAGTAACTCAGGATCCAAAATACATTTCTTCTTTCAGTGTCATTACTTCTTTTTTTGGTTACAAGTGTCTTTACTTCTTCAATTCACCAAAAAGAGAAACGTTTCTAATTCTTCAATGGAATCTGCTTTTGCAGATAGAGCCTTGATGTCAAGCAGGGCCCTCCACCTCTAGGCTGAGGCTAGAGGTGAATTATAAATGCCTTGCCACGCCACCATTAACCTACCAAAAGCACAATTGTCCTTGCCAGTGCAAAAGAGTAAACGTGGTGCTATGAAAGTAGGGGTTGCTGTGCAATAAAAACTATCATAAAATCAAAAAATTTATACATCAACTCACAATGTAGAGCATGGAACTACTGGAGCAGCCTGGTAACCAACAATACAGATGAAAAAAGGGTACAAAATTTGTATGATCAATAAAAGAACTTTACTCATTTGGTAATTTACAGACACATCACAGATCACAGATCCCTTCTGCATAGTGGGCATGAACCATGCCGCAGGAGCCACTTATCTATACAAGGTAGATGAAACATGTGATGGCAGTGGGGCAAACTTCTAACTGTCTCTCCAAGCTGAAAGTCCTGATAATGTAAAAATTCATAATTTCAATCAGTAAGTTTCAAATATAACAGCAACCCTAAGAGCCTGTGAGAGAAGTGAAAAAACGAAAAAAACAATATGGCTTTAAGATTTTAACCTGAAGGCAAACTGAACAAGAGACTTTCTCCCCAGAAGCATCCACATTATTGTTGCCAGTAATAATGATCTTTGGGATCTTTTCAACTGAATCTCCAGGCAACCCTTTGGACCCACCAGTGTCAAAGATATTGGGGATCTCATCAAAGCTTGATTCAACTGCACCCATCTGGTTAAACACAAGGAAATGAACAATAAATTAGTAAGCACATAAATTAGCACTTGGAGTTGAGTCTCACATAAGAACTAGCATCAAGGTATGGAAATTACCTGACTTTGCACTGCACTTAACATGGCTGGACCGATCCGCTCGCGGACTAGTCTACCACTTAGGAGACTTGCAATGACATCAATCTGCATAGTTTATGAGAAAACATGAATTAGGCACTCATAATGGCATTTGCTAATTGCAACTCTATTAAAGCTTGAAGATAAAATTCACCAAACTCATGCATTCTAAAGAAGAAACATTTGCAGTGACCACCTAACCCTATAAATAATCTCACCAAATAAAGAAGACACCCAATTCCGGACTCATCTGATTGCCAAAGAATAAGGGAAGATTCAAACACTTCGATAGAGAAAACAGCTCCTGATATTGCTCCAACAGCAGCCCCTCTTACAAATCCACTCTCAGTCTCTTGGCCTATCAAAGCTCCAGTCATAGCTCCTAACATGGTGCCCACTGCACACAAAAATGTCATTTCCATCAGTGAGAATGCTAAGATAAAACACGTCTTAATTACCAAAGCGCTCTCTGTTCCAAGGATCCAGACATATTTGGATGAATGTAAAAGGACAAGAATTCACAAAAAAAACCCTTGTCTATAAGTGAAAGCTTTTTACTTTAATTAGAGCTAGAATTTAACAAATCAATGGCATATCAGCCCATGCATCATGCTCCCAAATGAAATTCAATTCTGTTAACAAAATCTACAAATTCCAATGCATGAAATTGATTTCCTTTCCTCTGTCAGAGTAACAGAGAACCAATTTGATCTTGGTTGCAGATATCAATGATTCAAGAGCCAAATCCAATTAATTGCAGTACCGACGTCAAAAAGACAGAAACAGATCAAGAAGCAACACCCATGTAAGCATTAACAAAGAAAGACAAAAACTTTCATCAAAGACAACAATGAACAAACAGAACCCAATAACATAAAACAAAAACAAAAGGCTAAGAATGAACCGTCGAAAGGCAAATGAGACAAAGAGAAAAACGAACCTAATGCAAAGAAGAAGGTGAAGATCGCAGAGAAAATGTTCCCAAGAATCGCACAGACCGCAAAGTTGCAAAATTCCTTGATCCTCTCAAAGAAATTCCCAAATGAAAACGAAGAAGATGAAGAAAACCGAGATGGGTGTGCAATAAAATCCATTGTTGGGTCAAAAACTGTTGGGTTTATAAAAGCCTTTGCAGCTGGATGTTGTTGATCTTAAAGCAATGAAATTTAAACCCTTTAAAGAGGTCACCAATATCTGCGTGTATATATATAAAAGAAGGGACAGGTATGCTTAGTCCTTAAGAGAAGAGATAGAAGACGGGAAAACCACATCAACCAACTCGCATTTAAAGCTTTTTTTTCTCTTTGACATACAACTCTCTCCCTCTGTCGCTTTCTCTCTTTCTCTCTCTAGCTAAAAAGCCCTGTTTTCTTCCATTAGAGCTATATTTGCTCGTGGATGAAAGAAAATATAGGCCTTTGCCTTTGTAGAAAAAGATTAGTAATTTTGGCTACAAATACATGTGAGAGAGAGAGAGAGAGAGAGAGGAGAAATAGAAACCCATTACTAAGAAGCTTCTGCTTTGGACAATCGAGCGTCCTTGTTCGGGCTATAAATCGTCCACAAAACCCGTCACTGCAAAATTATATTTTTATTTTCCATCACCCATTTTTCAACAATGAAAGAGAAAGAGAGAGAGAGAGAGAGAGAGAGAGTCAAGAGTGTGGGGTTGGTTTTGTGAGCTTTTGAGCCCAATTGATTGGCCACCACGGCCCGCAAGTAGTTACTACGAAGCTTGGAAGATTTTCCTTATTTCCACAGAGTAGGAAAAGGCAATGAAAATATCTGCAATTGTTTTTTTCTTTCTTTCTTTGTTTTTGGGTTGGTTTGGTTATTGGCTTTTGCTTAAAATGGTATGTTCTTGCCTCTGCCACCTCAACATAGAAAAGCCATTACAATGGTTGATTCATTACGCCTCAACAAAGATGACCAATCACAAACAGATAGCTAAGTTTTAACTTAATTTTATTATAATTGTCCACGAAAATATAAGAACGTGGCAAAATTAAGCAACTTTCAAACTTAAACAGATTTAAATTAAGGAGCGAAAATAGCTAGTTATTGAGAGGGAGAGCCTAGGAAGTTCGTTACATATTATTTTCCGATTTTATGTGAGAGAAAGGAGTGTAGTTTTGTGGTAGGTGTGTTAGGTGGGTGACGCATGTTTTATTTTGTAATGATTGTATGAGTTAATTCAACCAAGCTCGTCCGAATTCAATTTAAAATTTTGTATCTATGAAAAGATTAGATTGAATATTTAGGATTCGGATGAGCTCAAGTTCGAGATGAAATTTAACTATAATTTTTGATAATTTTGTTGCGGACTGAATTTGGATTATTTGAATCCAATCGAGCTTAACGGAGATTTAGACGTGTATAAGATTGTACTATCCTTACTAAACTTGAATTTGGATTATTTGCCAATTAGCCAAACTTGAATTCCTAAACTACTAGAAGCATTCTATGTTGAATTACACGTCATTTATGACTTTCTTCTAATCAAATCAAGGATGACTACGTAGTCGGTATAAACGCCTCATTTGAAAACGTGGTGATGCTTCTACTAAACGCGGTTGGAAAAAGTACAAACTGCTTAAGGCGACTGCTTCCTGGTAAAAGTATCACCATCCATACCTTTTATAGGCTGCTAGCTAGCTTATAAGCTCTCCTTGTTTTTTTGACTACTTATTATGTAGTATAAGATTTAATTCTATTTAAAAGACTGTCATGTACATCTAGACATATGTAAACATGCAATGGTTTTCATGAGAATAAAAAAGAAAAGAAAAAACATTTCGCATCCAGAGTATGTACCCTCTTTCTTTCTCACTCAACATAATGAGTGAAATGAGTGAGAAAGAGAAAGGGTCGTTACATATACGTTTTCCTCTCGTTTTCGTGTCAACATACACGCCTTTCAAATCTAATCTCACCAAAAAGAAAAATAGATTTTTTAAGTCGTGAAAAGATTGAGGAAGTTGGAGTGGCTATTTTTTTAAGTCGAATTAAAGTTCTTGATGATATGATGAGAGAGCAAGAGAGTTCTGGAAGAGAGTTCTGGAATATGTAAGTAAGTACATGTTTACCTTCATCTAAGGGAACATGTATTATTTATATAATTAAGATATGTATGTCATCATCAATTTCAAATTGGCAATATCATTTAGAAGTTGAAGTCAAGAAAGTTTGAAAGCACTTGAAGCTTTAGCTAGCTAGAACTTTCTTTTCTTCTTTGTATTTAATTTACATTGCCTTCACCACACGCTAGCTGCTTCCAAATCAATATAATATATGCATTCTTCTCTCTCATTCTCGAAAGAACAATATATCCAGATTTTGAGATATAATTATGCATTCTAATCAAGTCTAGGCTGTTCTTAATTATCTAATTAATGGGATCATCATATGTCATGCATATATTATATGTATATGTCAAATACCCTCTGACGTTTTCTTTCTTTCTTCACTCTTGATTAATTGGTAGTTAAGCTAAACAATGGCCCATATATTATTCAATTAATTGTATTGCAATCAGAGAAAACCTACCAGATCTTACTACTTAAAGTTCAACTGGGCATTTTATTTTCTCGATTTTTTTTTAAGTACCTTTTCTTTTGAGTGGGGCAATAACAACAATTAATTTTATTTTATGACAAGTTCATACTCTTTTTCCAACTCTAAACAATGTCCTATTGAAAGATGATCTTAAACCCTAATGCCTAAAACATTATGTGGTGCCTTTTCCATTTTCAACAAACAAACCCTCCATATATATCCTAATCTTTCTTCTTCATTTTCAGCCCTTTTTATTGAGGGATTCCTCAAATAGGACACCCTTTAGGGTTCCCTACGAATTTTTTTTCAACGATCCAAATCATTTATTTTTTTAAGTATACATTCATAGATGATCCTTGTAAAAAATTAGAAAGATCGGAAATCGTTTCGACATTCAATTGTGTCCTACAAAATCAATGAACACGGTGCTTCAAGAAAATACTAAAATTTCAATAACTCAATTGAGTAGTCAAATGATATCGGATTTAATTGATTTTTTTGTAGAGATGATCTTTGAATGAGTATCTACAAAATATATGGTTTGGATTAGTGAAATACAATACGGAGTGGGCCCTACAAGGGTATCCCTCAAATAAGCAAATTTGAGGGTCCTTCAATGAAAGCTCTTATATATATTCCCGCTTGTTTGGCATTGCTATGCTGTGAAAATAATCGCTGTCAAATTTGCTGTGGGAGAAATCAGCTATGAGATAAAGCAGTTTGGCGTTTGGTAAACTTTTTGTTAAAAGTGTTGTTGGTACTAATTCCCGTATAATTAGAAAATGATTGCAGCATAATCATTAAACTCAGCGCATCTTCGAAACTGATTCATGCATAATGAGAAAATAAAAGCACCTCATTAGCTGATTTCCCTTATAGCTTTCTCTCACAGCAATTTTTAACAATAAGTAATTTTCTCATAATTTATCAAACGGAAGTAATGTCAAACGGGCACTTAAAGATATAGTGATAATTAACGCCCTTGAGGGCAGTTTTTCTAGTTGTAAAAATCAGGTAAACCACAACAAGGTTTTGCTAATTCCAAAAACAGCATCAACATCCAGTGGCATCTGATATTTCAGCAATTCACATATGGCCACAGATACCCGAGCATCTACCCATAATCATGATATGAAATATCTGGTGGTGGTGATGTCTACCGATGAAGTCTGTTCTTCGTTTACTAAATTTGTATATTTGGATAGAGAGAAATCGTGTGAGCAAGAAAAGTTGCCAAATGCTTTTGTAGAAAGTACCTAGGCTCATAACTAGAAAGACGTCGAAATTTTGATTAAAGATAAAAAAGTTTTTTCAAAAAGCAGTTGGAACTACTTCGTTTGTAAAAGGCTTTTACGATTGAGAAACACTTTTAAGTTTTTTTGTTAAACACTGTTAGAGACATTTTTGATTGTTTTTAACCATTTCATTAGCAATCTCAAACACGCCCTGAGATAGGCTCATAACTAGAAAGACGTCGAAATTTTGATTAAAGATAAAAAAGTTTTTTCAAAAAGCAGTTGGAACTACTTCGTTCGTAAAACGCTTTTACGATTGAGAAACACTTTTAAATTTTTTTGTCAAACACTGTTAGAGACATTTTTGATTATTTTTAACCATTTCATTAGCAATCTCAAACACGCCCTGAGTGACACAAAGTAAAGTTTAAGGTTGAAGTTTCAAACATTTTCACTTGTGCTATAGGATTCTATTCTATTGCTAAATTAAGATAAAACAAGAACCCAAAATGGTCTGAAAATAGCAAAAGGCAAGAAATAGAAAATTCATGAAAAGCCACACGCCCAGCCCAAGAAGGCCCACGCTTGGCCTTTTCAGAAGAGAAGATACCCAACAAACAGTCCAATACCAAATCAGATAAAAAAGCGCAGGAATTATTAAAGTAGGCGCGCTCTCACCTAATTGTTGTTCACTAATAAGATCAGGATATTCATCGGACCAAGAGAACACGCGACAACAAATACTGCATATAACGTTTAGTTCTCCTCCTCCTCCTCCTTCTTCACTTCCACCTTCTCACTCTCTCAAATCTTCCACTTCATTTCGAATTAAATCAAAACCCTAAAACTAACTGGATCGATCCGATTAGCTGAAAGTTTGGATCAGTATATCGCTATGGGTACTGCAGCACGATCTTACTCTTTTTTTTTTTTTTTGCTTTTGATTTGGATTTTGAAGTTTTGGGTTGATTTGCAGCGACGGCGAATCCATTTCAGAAGATACTGACGGCGCTTGAGAAGCCAGACGGTGGTGAATTCGGAAAATACTACAGCTTACCAGCTCTCAATGATCCTAGAATTGGTTTGTTTTTTTGTTCCTCTAATTGGTTTTCTTGTATTTTCTGTTTGATACTCGAGAAACATTAGGAAATGAGTAGAAATTTTGAGTCTTTGTAATTTGTGTTGTGCAAAGTAGGGTGATTGCAACGAAACAGAGTGTTCTTTTGTGTGATATACTTTAAAGTGTGGAACTTTGGGATGAAATATTGACCGTGTATTGGTGCTTGTGTTGCAGACAAGCTGCCATTCTCTATCAAGATCCTTCTTGAATCAGCAATCCGTAACTGTGACGAGTTTCAGGTTAAGAGTAAGGATGTTGAGAAAATTATTGATTGGGAGAACACATCTCCCAAGCAGGTTGAGATCCCATTCAAACCTGCTAGAGTTCTTCTTCAGGTAAATACGTTGTGGATAGTCAGTGTTGGAACTTGCCATTATCACAACGTTAGTGAAAAGTGGATTGTCACTGTGTTTGTTCATCTGGTTCACAGGATTTTACTGGGGTACCTGCTGTTGTTGATCTGGCTTGCATGAGAGATGCCATGAACAATCTAAAGGGCGA